GAAAGAGAGGAAGAGATCCCCACCAAAGCCATGGTCATCAGGGTGACTGTGGGCATACCCAAAGCTGGACTTCTCTGAGAAGCAACATCAAAGGCTTAACATTGTGACAGGGAAACAAATGTCACTAAAGCAATCCAGACAGTGATTAAACATATAAACAGGCAAAGAGTAGAGAAACCAGTATCCAAAGTTGCTGTAATTTATTATCTAAGATGTTAAGTATCCAACAAAAAAAGACAAGGCATTCAAAGAAATAGTAAAGAATGACCCATAAACTATTTAAGTTTAAAAAAAACTTTTAAAAAAAGCTGGCAAGAGAAATTGCCTAGATAGCATCTAGATGTTGAGAGAGTCAAAGTCACCATTATAAACATGTTCACCTTACTGAAGGAAATCATAATTAAAGTGTTAAAAGAATGATGACAACATCCCATCGAATGGAGAATAACAATTGAAATTATTCTGAAAAACTGAAAACTCTGAAGTCCAAAAAGTATAACTGAAATAAAAACTCACTAGAAGGGCTCGACAGTATATATGAACCAGTAGAAGAAAAAATAAGCAAATTCAAAGATAGATCAACAGAGATTATACAAGCCAAAGGACAGACAGACCAAAGGATGAAGGAAAGTGAAGCAAGACTCAGAAAAATGTGGGACACTGTTAAGCACACCAACATAGATGTAATGGGGAGTACCAGAAGGAGAGAAAAGCTAACAGCAGGAAAAAAATTTTTTAAAGTATTTTGAAGCCAAAGACTTCCCAAATTCATTGACAAAAACAATGTATACCTCCAGGAAGTTCAATGAATTCCAAACAGGATAAACACAGAGATCCACAAACAGACACATTACTATAAAAACGGTGAAGGCCAAACAGAAGGAGAAAATCTTGAAGGCAGCAAAAGAAAAACAACTTGCTACTTACAAGAGAATCCAGTTCTATTACCAGCTGACTTCCAAGAATAACAGATGGCGGCCGAAGGCATCTCGGAGAGAATTTGCTTCAGGCAGAGCCACCTTCAGCAGATGGTAAAGGTGGGAGGCCTGGTGGCTCAGCTGGTGAAGTGTCCCACTCTTGGTTTCAGCTCATGTCCTGATCTCACGGTTCTTGGGTCATGGTTCTAAATGCTAAGTGTATGTTAATGAGTCCCAAATTTAAACCTCCTGGATTACTCTCTTGAGCACCAGACTCTCACATCTAACTGCCTACCTGACATCTCCATGTCAATATCAAAAAAGAGGGTGAGAGGAATAGAGCTACATGGGAGTAACATTTATATTACTGGAATTAAGCTAATACAAATTTGCAGCTGATTCTGATAAAATATGCATGTGAGGGGTGCCTGGGTGGCTCGGTTGATCTCAGCTCAGGTCTTGATTTCAGGGTGGCTAAGTTAAAGCCCTGCACTGCATTCCATGTTGGATATGCAGCCTACTTAAGAAATTAATTAATTAAAATGTTGAGATGTACATGTTAAATTTTTTTTAATGTTTTATTTATTTCTGAGAGAGAGACAGCATGGGCAGTGGAGGGTCAGAGAGAGAGGAAGATACAGAATCTGAAACAGGCTCCAGGCTCTGAGCTAGCTGTCAGCACAGAGCCCAACGTGGGGCTCGAACCCATGTACCGTGAGATCATGACCCGAGGTGAAGTCGGAGGCTTAACCGACTGAGCCACCCAGGCGCCCCAAGATGTGCATGTTAAACCCTACAGCAACCACTAAAGAAAAAAAAAAAGGCAGTAAAGGAAGAACATAAGAACATAAAAGATGTGAGATACATAGAAAACAAAAAATAAAGTGGCATATATAAATCCAACTATATCAACAACAATATGTGAATAGATTAACCCAATTAAAAGGCAAAGACTGTGGGATTACTTGAGAAAATATATTCCAACTATATACTATCTACTGTAAACACACCTTAGATTCAAAGATTAAAATACACTGAAAGTAAAAGGATGAAAATGGTATCTCACCTAACCGAAAATCACAGTATTGGATAAAATAGATTTTAAAAGACAACAACAAAAAATGTTGAGGGGTAGGGGCACCGTGAGTTCAAGCCCCACATTGGGCTCTGTGCTGACAGCTCGGGGCCTCTTTCGGATTCTGTGTCTCCCTCTCTCTCTCTCTGCCCCTCTCCCACTCAGGTTCTCTCTCTTTCCCTCTCTCTCTCCCCTGCCCCCTCTCTAAAAAGTAAGTAAAACATTAAAAATAATTAAAAACAAAAATACAAAACTCTGCAGTGGTTGTCCATCTCAATCAGAGTAAAAGGCAAAGTTCTTTTTTTTTTTTTTAACTTTTTTATATTTTTATTTATTTCTAGGAGAGAGAGAAAGAGAGACAGCGTGAGCAGGGGAGGGTCAGAGAGAGAGGGAGACACAGACTCTGAAATAGGCTCCAGGCTCTCAGCTGGCAGTCAGCACAGAGCCCAACGCGGGGCTCGAACCCACGAACCGTGAGATCATGACCTAAGCGAAAGTCGGACGCTTAACCGACTAAGCCACCCAGGCGCCCCAAAGGCAAAGTTCTTAAAACAGCCTACGGGACAGGACATGATCTAATGCCCCACCTCACCTGTCACCACCTCCACAACTCATTTCCTATTACACTCCTTGTTCCACTACCACCAAACTGGTTACTTCTAGAACATACCACACTTTGGGACCTTTACACATGCTATACCTTCTGCCTGGAACATCTCTTTGGGGATTTACTCAAGTATCGTCTTCTCAGTAAGGCATCCTATGACCTTGACTTATGGGAAACACCAGCTTATCTCCATACACACCCACCCAATTATCTATCACTCTAACTCCCCTTCTTGGCCCTATTTTCCTTCAAAGGACTTAACTGCCATCAAAATTTATATTGGTTTCCTTTCTTTCTCTTCCAAATTAACTATAAAGCATTATCTAGGCAGTGCCTGACACACTGTGAACACTCAATAAATCTTTGAATAAGTGAATACTAGGACATCAGTTTAAAAAAAACATCTTAGGGGCGCCTGGGTGGCTCAGTTGGTTAAGCAGCCGACTTCGGCTCAGGTCATGAACTCACGGTTTGTGGGTTCGAGCCCCGCGTTGGGCTCTGTGCTGACAGCTCAGAGCCTGAAGCCCGCTTCAGATTCTGTGTCTCCCTCTCTGTCTGACCCTCCCCTGCTCATGCTGTCTCTCAGAAATAAATAAAACATTAAAAAATAAAAAACCATCTTAATTTCTATTCTTAATTTCATACCACAGATCCTCAAAGCAAATATTCACCGCGGAACAACTGTTCTGGAAATTACCCTTTGCAGCTATACCCCCTCAAGCAAATGAATGTGGGAAATACACCAGATTGCCCAATTCCCCACCTGCCTGTCCTTCACAGCTTCTCCAAGAGTTGGCAGCAAAAAAACAGTCCCTCTGTCCCTTTGGCAAAAGCAAAAGTGGCAGAGAGCACTGTCTGGGTTCCCAAGTCCTGCTCCTGATCCCTGGGCTGCTGGGAATGAAGGCAGCATCTGGGATGTCATCAACCTGGACGTTGCTAAGAGACTTCAAGGAACAGAAGCGTTTCTCATGGAAATAATCATTTTCACACAACAGAGTTGTGAATTGTGAATACGCTTGTTCCCATCACTTCTAGAAAGTGATGCACATAGATAGGACAGAGTCCTTTCATAGTGACATGCAAATGTCACTTTCCATTATGTAAACACAAGCTCTAATTTTATCACAGGTTATCAACTCTCTTTGTGTCCAGATTTACAGAATACCGTGGTTGTGCAGAATGCACACTGAACATTTCAGTCCACAAACGAACCAATGTATGTGCTAATATTCCCTGAATACTGAAAATGAGGGAAGAGAAACATTTCAGATGGAAAAAAAGAGCACAATGTGATGACCTAAAAAGTTAACGAAAACAACAAATCCATCAGAAAACAATTACAACTGACAGCTGCAAGCGTTAAAGTTGTTGGAAGTTTCATCAAAGACCACAAATTTAGCTTCTTCCATCTTCTAACATAGGACTCTCCTCATTACCATTCATATCATTCACGAAGATCCATTGAATTAGCTCAAAATCTAATCTTTAAAGGACTAGGCAATGTAAGAGACGGGCACGTCCACGGGAACGCCAAAGGACGAAGAAATCAGTGAAAATCGGAGAGTTTATCAAAATCGGCAGTGCTTCTCTCCAAAGGAAAAAGGAAGAAACGGAACGGGTCCCCTTGGGAAGAAAACAGGAATTTGTGATAATATAAAGATATCCTGTGCTTATCCGAGGAGACTGTACAGGAGACCCTCCAGAAGACAAAGACGTGCTTGGAACGTGAAGAGTTCTCCCATTCAGGACACTCAGTGATGTGGAAACGCGGAGAAGGTGGTGAGAGCCACGGCCGACCTCAGGCAAGGATACGTAAGCAGCCCCGATCGGGCCACGGGAATAGATAGGGCAGCGACGAAATGCCAGAACGGAGAACGGGACGGAAGAACCAGCAGGTCGCTGGGCGTCGAGCCCCTGGGGGGAGGGCTCTCCGGTTCCCTGCTCAGCCCAAGCGCCTAGAACTGTGCCTGCCTTGTGGCGTGCGCCCAAAACAGAGAGAAGGGCGGATAGCTGTTCGAGCCGCGTATGGTCTGAGGGTCGGAGAGAGGCCCCAAACGCCCCGAGCCGCTAGGTCGGCTCCTGCCCTTCACGCCCAGCCTGGAACCCTGCGGGCGGCCGGGGTTGCGGTCCTTCCCAGTTGTATTTGGGGGCGGAGACGGGGGTCATGAAACCGGAACTCCTTACTTACTTTTGCAGCCGGGCGCCATGGCGCCCTCACCCCTCGATCCCGAGACCAAGGCAGCGGATACCCACACCTCCAGCCGCGCGGCGCGTCGGGATTCCGCACGCTCAAGATGGCCGCAGATTTGAATTTGGCGCTCGGGTCGGACGGTGACGCCATCAAGGAGGCTGCCATGTTGCCCGGCCTCCGGCCAGGGGGCGGGGACTGCGTGACGTCACGAGTAGGCGCCATAACCAATGCACACTCTCCGGCGGCCCTGGGGAACCTGTCTCTTTCCCCGGGACAGCCATGAGCAAGCGGAACCAGGTTTCGTACGTGCGGCCAGCCGAGCCGGCGTTCCTGGCCCGCTTTAAGGAACGGGTCGGCTACAAGGAAGGGCCCACCGTGGAGACCAAGGTGAGCCCAGGCCAGTCGCCTTACCCGAGAAACGCTGCCCTCCCCGCTACTTCCGGCTTCTGCCAAGACTTGGAGGCCTGGCACTGACGGGCCCCTCCCCTCCCCTGCACCCAGTCCCCTATCTGGATGGGCTTCAGGCCCCAGGCTGGTCCTCTTCAAGTTACTACAGCCTCGTATACCCTGGAAGATATTTGTCGTTTTTCATAGTGCTGTTGTATTCTTGAAAATGACTTGACGCAGGTAAAGCGCCTCGTCCTTGGTAGATGATTAAGAAAGATCACTTTTGGGGCGCCTGGGTGGCTCAGTTGGTTAAGCGTCCGACTTGGGCTCAGGTCATGATCTCACAGTTCGTGGGTTCGAGCCCCGCGTCGGGCTCTGTGCTGACAGCCAGCTCAGAGCCTGGAGTCTGTTTCAGATTCTGTGTCTCCCTCCCTCTCTGACCCACCCCTGCTCACTCACTCTCTCAGAAATAAATAAAACATTTTTTAAAAATTAAAAAAAAAAAGAAAGATCACTTTTCTCTCTCTTATTTGCTTATCCCAAAACCTGTAGTTAGCAGGATTGGCGGTAGCATAGTCCCATTTTCCAGATAAAGGAACTGAGGCCTCTCTATCAAATGACCTGATGTCCTAGGCCTCGAGTCTGGATCTTTGGAAGAATGCCCTGGATCTATTGTTATGCTTTATTGTTTAACAACCACACCCCTTTCCTCCCTCCGCCCCCCCCCGCAAAAGTATGTTTAAGAATATCTTGGATCTAAATAGAGAGGAGCTTTAGGAAAGAGCAGCACCTGAATAGTTTAAGGATGGGGATGTGTGGGAATCAATTCTGAGCCCTCCCAGGCTTCAGCCCTAACTGGTTCAAGCCAAAACCTGCCCTATCTCTTTCAATAGGAAGAGACTCTTATGCTTAGGGGATGTGTGGAGAAATTATTTATTTAGCACTCTGTGTCTAGCACTTTCACTAATACCTGCCCCTCAAGTCACTTAGAGTTTAGTAAAGGAAACAAGATTGACTTGTATTAAATCATTCAATCCAATGAGTATGTGCTAAGCCCAGGCATTGTGAAAGAAAATGAAAGAACAAAGAGATGTATCTCCAGAATGCCATATTCTTTTTAATACTTTCTTCCCTGCTTCATCTCCACCTTCACAGGTCACCACCTCTGTGAACCTCTTCAAATCTCCTCCAAACAATTACTTTTCCTCTGTTTTTCTCTTCACTTTGTCCATATCTGTGATATTCATCTTTTTGTTACAACTACTTCCTTTCCTGTGTATTGTCACCACTAAATCAAACTCTCTAAGATCGTGTCTTAATCTTTCGTTATTTTCCCAGCACCTGGCACAGTGCCTGGACTAAGTAGTAGGTGACCAGTTATATTGACTGTGCTTGTCATGAGGCAATGCTTCACTGAGGAAGGGATACTTGGACTGAATCTTGAGCATGGGTAGGTGAGCAGGTAGAGATAGATTAGAAGGGTGGATAAAGATGTAAAGATGGTGAGTCAGCAGGGCATCTGGCTGGCTCAGTCAGGGGAGCGTGTGACTCTTCATCTCAGGGTTGTAGCCCCGTGTTGGATGTAGAGATTACTTAAAAATAAAATCTTTTAAAACAAAAGAAAAGAAAAGATGGTAAATCATGGACTGTGTGATTGAAGAACGGGTTGGAGGGAAAGCCAGATGGACTCTTCAGTCGGCAACAAGGAGCCATTTTTGGTTAGAATGTGATCAGGGAGTGACTGATCCCCGGGACCAAAAAACAGTGAAGATGACAAAGAGGTTGAGATTTGAGAAAAGAGATACGGATTCAGCAATGAGGAGACTATAAGACCTAATTATATAGTTTGCTTGAGGTCCTTGCGATGATCATGTGTGCATAATTAACACCCTGAAGATTCTAGCTGGGAATGCTGTTTTCGGAGAACTTGGGGTGCGGGTGGTACCTTCCAATTTATATCAGTGATTTAAACTTATGCAAAAGACTCTTCCATAGACAAATGCCCCCATGTTTCTGTGTTTGAGAAACCAACTGTGCTCTTAATCAGGTTGGCAGTATAATCATCGTTCTATTAATCTGTTAACAAAAAGAAGTTTCATAGGAAATCATTATATAATCGAGTTAAATTACCTTATTCACCTTCTTGAGAGTTAATTCAGGAGTGGCTTTGAGCAGCCACTGTTTCCTTAACTGTATTTCTTATTTTCCAGCCAGTCATGTAAACAAAAAGAGAAGAGTCAGAATTAATGATTCTCAATAAAATGAACACCAGGAATTTTTTTTTTAAAGATTTTATTTCTAAATAATCACTATACCCGTTGTGGGACTTGAACTCACAACCCCAAGATTAAGAGTCGCATGCTCTACTGATTGAACCAGCCAGGCACCCCAGGATTTATTTTATTTCACTGTCCCATTTCCTTGGTTAAAATACTTACTAGGGGAATCTAATTTGACAATAAACTATTTGTAAAACAAAAAAAAAAGAAATACAAACAAAAAAATAAATAAATAAATAAATAAAATAAAATAAAATACTTACTGGCGCTCCTGGGTGGCTCAGACGGTTAAGCATCCAACTTCGGCTCAGGTCATGATCTCACAGTTAGTGAGTTTGAGACCCGTGCCGGGCTCTGTGCTCAGAGACTGGAGTCTGCTTCGGATTCTGTCTCCCTCTCTCTCTGCCCTTCCCCTGCTCATGCTCTGTCTCTCTCTCTCTCTCTCTCAAAATAAATAAACATTTTTTAAAAATTTAATACTTATTAGTTACTCACTACTTTGTGATCATTTATTGGAAACTCTCAGAAAAAAATATGCAAAACTAATGAATAATCTGTGAACTCACATGGATATTATTAAAGAGAATGCACCGTGACTTGGGATGTAGACAAAATGAGTGAATTTGCCTGTGAGTAACCTGCCAGCCAGCGCTTTTAGGTAGTAGTTCATCATCTTTCATTCTATTAGTCATTCATGAATAGATCAACAAACACTTCTTGAGCCCCTGCTGTCTGCCAGGCTCTGTGCCTCTAGGTACAGACATTAAACACAAGTACCTCAAAGGAGCTAACCTAACAGGACCAGAGAGGAAAATATTGGTAAGTCATGGGGCACCCGGGTGGCTCAGTTGGTTAAGCGTCCGACTTCGGCTCAGGTCATGATCTCGCGGTTCGTGGGTTCGAGCCCTGTATCGGGCTCTGTGCTGACAGCCAGCTCAGAACCTGGAGCCTGTTTCAGATTCTGTGTCTCCCTCTCTCTCTGACCCTCCCCTGCTCATGCTGTCTGTCTCAGAAATAAATAAAACATTAAAAAAAAAAAGAAAGTAAAATATTGGTAACTCAGTCTGGTACATGTTCCCTATGAGCTATGCGCAGTGTGAGAAGGAAGACAAGGTGAGATCAGGAAAGTACTTCTAAAGAATCGAAGTCTAGAAGGCGGCTTGAGCATGTATGCACCAGGGGCAGTGGGGCTGGTTCAGAGACCAGGGAGGCAGAGGAGCTAATATGCTCATGTATCTGTAATCCTCCAACTCGGCTGGAGTCTGGAGGCCGTGAGTATGGCGTAGGAGAAAGCGGTGTTTCTAGGCCAGATGCCGTAGGGCTTTGTGGCTCTGTCTGGCAGACAAGGCTCTGTGAGAGGTGGAGTATCAAGTTATTGGAATAATGTGTGATGGGTGTACATACCTTTCAACCTGGCAACTCCACTTCCAGAAATTTATCTTACATATGAGTTTCCAAAATTGAACAGAAATAAGTGCATAGTAGAAAAAGTAAACAAAAATGTGTGCATAGTGGAAAAAACTAGAAACAACCAAAATTTTTATGTACGGGGTACTGGTCAAATAAACCATGAGATGACTATATATATAGTTAAATAGTAGGCAGTGATTTTTAAAATAGACAATTTCATATTAATAGATAATTCCAAGTTACTATACAAAAATATTTTTGAGTAAAAAAGTTGGGGTGCAGGGTGCCGGAGTGGCTCAGTTGGTTAAGCATCTGACTCTCGATCTTGGCTCTTGATCTCGGGGTTGTGAGTTCAAGCCCCACACTGGGCTCTGCACGGGGCATGAAGCCTGTTTTAAGAAATAAAGTAAAAAATAAAATAAAATTAAAAAAGTAATTTGCTGGGGTGCCTAGGTGGCTCAGTTGGTTAAGCATCCGACTCTTTGGTTTCAGTTCAGGTAATAATCTCACAGTTCGAGAGTTCGAGGCCCGAGTCAGGCTCTGCACTGACAGTACAGAGCCAGCTTGGAATTCTCTCCCTTCCTCTCTGCCCCTCCCCCACATGAGCGCATGCATTGAGCTGTCCCTCTTTCTCTCTGTCAATTAAACTTAAAAAAAAAATGGGGGAAGTGGGGCTTTTACAGTATCTGACATCTATTGAAAATGAATCAACTAGGGGCGCCTGGGTGGCTTAGTCGGTTAAGCGTCCGACTTTCGCTTAGGTCATGATCTCGCGGTTCGTGGGTTCGGGCCCCGCGTCGGGCTCTGTGCTGACTGCCAGCTCAGAGCCTGGAGCCTGTTTCAGTCTGTGACTCCCTCTCTCTCTGACCCTCCCCTGCTCACGCTGTCTCTCTCTCTCTCTCTCCTAGAAATAAAAACCTTAAAAAAAAAAATAAAATAAAAAAAAAATTAAAAAATTAAAAAAAAAAAAAAAAAAAAGAAAATGAATCAACTGACCAAAGGTTCCCACTTGTAACGTGTATAGTGAGTACATGGTTTCTGTTGGTCTTCTCTGTACTTTCATCTTTGGGAAATTTCATGAAGAAAAGAAAGCAAGTCACATAGTATGTACAATATTCTTTTTGCATACAGAATGTTTTCTGTACTCCTGTATTTATATACACTTAGGAAAGGGCTGTAGGATACTCACCCGACTGAAGCTGTCAGAAGGGAGAAGAGATAATCAGAGGTGGAAGAAAGAGCACCTTTGACTTGCTGCCTTCTGTCCTTGGGTGTTGAGTATTTTTTGTCCGACTCTGAGAAGAGATGGAAGTGAAAACAGTTGGTGAAAGCGAACAGAATGATGTGGTTCAGCACTCCCCTGAGTCGGCTGAGTGGGCAGCACATGAAGCAGAGAGACACTGGGAGCAGCCAGCTGGGGTCCTACTGGGATGGAAATTAGTCCCTTTAGGCAGGCACTTTAGGGAAACTGGCAGGTAGATCTCCCCAGTGTGGCAGGGTCAGGCTCTTAAGAGTTACTTGGAAATTCACTGCCAAGTACATTTAGTCAATAAAGTTACCCTTCTCCCTTAGTAATTACAGTATCTCACAGAGACCGTGGTTGTATTTGGTTCAAGGTCAGCAGTCTACGTATGGTGTTTGTGTTTTCCCCCAGAGAATCCAGCTTCAGCTCCCAGATGAAGATGCTGATCACAGTGACAAAGAAGATGAACAGCCCCAAGTGGTGGTTTTAAAAAAGGGAGACCTGTCAGCTGAAGAAGTCATGAAAATTAAAGCAGAAATAAAGGCTTCCAAAGCAGGTATGTCTGAAAGTAATCTGATTTTTTCCCTAACAATTTAAGGGGCCTGAAATACGAAATTATCTTATGTCATAATATGGTATGTTTGAAGGAGACGGTCCTAGGTTCAAACTTCGCCTTTAACACTCACCAGATGTGTGATCTTGAACAAGTTATTTCACCTCTCAGCCTCACTTCCCTCATCAGTAAAATGGAGACATTAATGGTACCTACTTTATTGGGTTGTTACAGGATTAAGTGCAAACTTAAACAAAAATATCCTGTTTAAAAAAAAAAAAAAAAAAAACGTGGTTAGGGGGCGCCTGGGTGGCTCAGTCGGTTAAGCGTCCAACTTCGGCTCAGGTCATGAGCTCACAGTTCATGGGTTCGAGCCCCGTGTCGGGCTCTGTGCTGACAGCTAGCTCAGAGCCTGGAGACTGCTTAAGATTCTGTGTCTCCCTCTCTCTCTGACTCTCCCCTGCTCACGCTCTCTCTCTCTCTCTCTCTCTCAGAAATAAATAAAAAACATTTAAAAATTTAAAAAAAAAAGTGGTTAGGTTTACAAATTAGTCAATAGATGTATTTATTTAACCAGTGCCCAAAGTGTAGTATGCTAGATGGTATATTTTTCATTATTCCTAAATATTTATTATGTTGCCTTAAGGAAAAATGCTAGCATTTCAAACAATCGCTTTTCAAAATACTTAAAAATATAGCCAGATTATAACCAATTGGGGACTGGCTATGTTATGGAATACTTCAGGAAGTGAGTTTTTATTAAGTGAGTGCATGTCTTGTGACCATATAGCTAGAAGCAGTGGAGAAGACCAGATCGAATGGACTCAGGACATCTTTAAATACCATCTGAGATTTTTCTTGCTCCATTTGATGCTCCAATAAAGGCAAAATGAGAGAAGAAAGTTCTTTAATTTTGTCTTTGCTGCAGATGAAGAACCAGCTACCGCTGATGGAAGAATCGTGTATCGAAAACCAGCTAAGCGTTCCTCAGAGGAAAAATACTCAGGTTTAACAGCAAGCTCAAAAAAGAAAAAGGCAAATGAAGATGAAATAAATATGCAGGACTCCGTTAAAAAGAACTCACCAAAGCAAATCAAAAACAGCTCCCTCCTTTCTTTTGACAATGAAGATGAAACCGACTAAGTGTAAATATTTTGGACTTGGTCTTCCTTTAGAGTATATGGGGTATTTTTTAAAAGGACATCTTTTTTCTTATTTAAAGATAATACAAGTTCATTATAGAAAATTTAGAAAATTCAGAAAAAATGTATGATAAAAACTTTGTGTATCAATACCCTTTGACATAATGCAAACTCTGTAGCTATTAACATTTTGGGAATTCCATGGGTGGGGTATGTATGTATGTAAATTATATTTTTTAAACAAAATTGGGATTAGGTTATGTATATTTTCTGTCCTGCTTCTTACATGTGAGCATTTTTCCAGATCAGTATAATTAAAAACTTAGCATAACTGCTATTGAGGATTGACAAAATCTTCAGTATCTTCATGAGCAGAAGCCCACTTTGGATGAGGAAGATGATAATGCAGCTAGTTAAGAATACTTCCCCAGCTCCTGCTAAAGGTAGCAGTGTAACAGCTCTGGCAATTTTAGAGGTACACATGGGCTTGTACAAGTGAGGACCTAATGCAAGTGATCTTGATACAAGTGAGGATCTAATATATAACATGGTGACTATAGGTGATAACACTGTAAGGGGGTGGGGCACACCTGGGTTGCTCATTTCAGATAAGCATCCAACTTTGGCTCAGGTCATGATCTCATGGCTCGTGAGTTTGAGCCCGCATCGGGATCTCTGCTGTCAGCACAGAGATCCGCTTTGGATCCTCTGTACCCCCCTCCCCTCTGCTCCTCCCCCGTTCATGCTCTCTCTCTCTCTCTCTCTCTCACTCACTCTCAGAAACAAACATTAAAAAGAGAGAGAGAGAGAGATGGAGCACCTGGGTGGCATAGTCAGTTAAGCATCTGACTTCAGCTCAGGTCATGAATTTGAGTTTCATGAGTTCAGGCCCTGTGTTAGACTCTGTGCTGACAGCTCAGAGCCTGGAGCCTGCTTTGAATTCTGTGCCTCCCTCACTCTCTGCCCCTCCCCTGCTGGCACTCTGCTCCCTCCCTCCCCTGCCCCCAAATAAACATTAAAAAAAAGAGAGCTACAAGTGAATTTACTTAATAAAGCTTCCAGGTGTTTGATACAAAAAAGCAGATTTGGCAAGCATGAACCTTTGTCCTCACTACATACTGCCAAGAGCACATACATGGAACATAGAGGCATTTTTTGGCCTAAGGAGGGCAGCCCTTTGCTCTGGGTGGCAGAGGGTGGGAGGTGGGAGGACTCGAGGCGCTTGGGTCCTGATGGCGTGCCCTGATGGCGTGCCGGGAGGAGCAGCTCCAGCGGCCACGGACTGCCAACCTCTGGACTCGTTGACCCATGAGAAGAATAAACCAGAACTTGCTGCTCAGTGGTACCTCTTGCCGACACCTGAGAACTCCACGTCCCCTACCCTCCTGTTCCCTTAAGACGCCCCCTTTACCGTCGTGCTCCTAGAATTTGTTCACTTCAAAAGTAAAAGTTATTTTACCAGCAGAATGGATTTATTTGAGAACAGTAGATGGTTGCAATTCAGGACGTGCAAGCATAAAACCATAGGCAAGTCAGGAGAACAAAGGAGAGGACCGTTCTTTTACAGGGAAAGCAGGGAATTGGGAGGAGTTGTTATCAACAAAATTCCGTGAGCGCACACTGGCTGTCTGAAGTGTAGTGGCTTTCCACCGGCCGAGCTGTGACAGTCACGTTGGCTGGGCTATTGCCCGGCAACGAGAAAAATCCGCTTTCCTCCCAAGGGGGTTAGTAGAGTAGGCTTATTCCCTGTTAGGAATGCAAGGTATGGCTCTTTCTTTTGGTTCTGCAAAGGGCTGCGAGGTGTGGAATGTGTGAGCTCCCCCTTCTGGGCGCCCAACTCCATTTTAAGTGAGGCTTTCTTTATTCAGTTTCACAAATTCCAAGCAAGCACAGCCACATACTAATCAACATGCTATTTCCACCCCTCTTTATTTTCAAAGAACTTCTCCTCCCACCAAACAAAGGTCCCGTAACACGAGTTTTTATTCAGTTAGCATCAGCAAGGCTTTTCTTTTCATGGAAGAGAGAAGTCTAGAGCTTGAAGTGACTTAAGATCCAACAGTGAGTGGTAACAAAATCAAAAGAAAGCTCTTCAAGGTACCCAGGAGTCCACTGTACAACGTCCACTCAAATCCCAATAATTTCCTTTTTCTCAGATGAAATCTGAATCTTCTCAAGGATAAACCAGTCTTATATTGTGTTCTATTTAAATCTAAATATAGTCTAAATAACATTCTATAGATTAAGCATGAAAGCATAGCCCAATTTCAAGAATGTTAAAGGGTACCTGACTGGCTCAGTCAGAAAAGCATGTGACTCTTGATCTTGGGGTTACGAGTTTGAGCTCGATGTTGGGCATAGAGATTACTTTACCAAAAAAAAAAAGGGGGGGAGAGAAAGAGAGACTGAAATAAAGAATGCTCTTAAAAAAATATACCAAGGGATGCTTAGGTGTCTCAGTCTGTTAAGTGTCTGACTTCAGCTCAGGTCATGATCTCATGATTCGTGAGTTCAAGCTCCACGTCAGGCTCTGTGCTGACAGCTCAGAGCCTGGAGCCTGCTTCTGATTCTGTGTCTCCGTCTGTCTTCCCTCCTGTGCTCATGCTCTGTCTCTCTCTCTCAAAAATAAATGAACATTTTAAAAAAATACATCAAGGGGCGCCTGGGTAGCTCACTCGGTTAGGTGTCCGACTTCAGCTCAGGTCATGGTATCACAGTTCATGGGTTTGAGCCCCGCGTTGGGCTCTGTGCTGACAGCCAGCTCAGAGCCTGGAGCCTGTTTCGGATTCTGTGTCTCCCTCTCTCTCTGACCCTCCACTGCTCATGCTGTCTGTCTCTCTCTCTCAAAAATAAAGAAAAAAAGAAAAAATACATCAAGAACCAAAAGTAATGCTAAACATTGCTTGTTTTCAGTAGCCAGATTTATATACTTTTGGAATATCCTATAACTCAAAACCAATTAATGGCAGTTATTTATTACATACAACTCATTCTATTCTCAAGATAAATATTGTCATTATTCTTTTGAGGAGGATGGGGCAAACAGGCTCAGAGAGGATCAGTTCACACACCCATTAAGTGGCAGAGAAGGCATCAAACTCAAGACTATGAGTCTACTTTCTTACTTTCAGGACACATTGCGTCTTGTTCAACATATCGAACATTCATCCCAGCTGAAGACTTAGTCTTCAACTCCTAAGAATTTGGGGGTGAGGGTGTGGCATTTTAATACAAATCTTTCCACACGGGTTATATCCCAAGTTTTAGTCTCCACCATGAAGCCTCTGATGTCGAACAAGTGCAGAACTGTGCCTGAAGGATTTCCCACATCCAACACACTCGTAAGGTTTTTCTCCAGTGTGAATTCTGTAATGTTCACTAAGGTGTGCTTGCTTGCGGAAAGTTTTGTCACACTCACTACACTTGTAAAGTTTCTCTCCAGTGTGAGTTCTCGCATGTTCAACAAGGGAAGAGTTCTGAGTGAAGGCTTTACCACACTCAGTACATGTGTAGGGCTTCTCTCCTGAGTGAATTCTCTGGTGCTGCATGAGGCATGCACTCTGATTAAAGGCTTTCCCACACTCATTACACTTATACGGTTTATCTCCAGAGTGACTTCTCTGATGACGAGTAAGGCAAATGCTCTGACTGAAGGCTTTGCCACATTCAAGGCATTTGTAAGGTTTCTCTCCAGTGTGAACACGCAGGTGTTTGATAAGGGAGGGGCTCTGACAGAAAGCTTTGCCACATTCAGAGCATTTATAGGGTTTCTCTCCAGTATGAATTCTCAGATGCTGAATGAGGATTGCTTTTGTTTGAAAGGCTTTCTCACATTCATTACATTTATAAGGTTTCTCTCCTGTGTGAATCCTCAAATGCTGAGTAAGATTTGACTGTTTACGGAAACAAGTTCCGCATTCGCTACACACATAGGGCTTCTCTCCTGTGTGAATCCTCTGGTGCTGAGTTAGAGATGATCTCTGAGTAAAGAATTTCCCACATTCACTACACTTTGAAGGTTTCTTCTTCGTGTTAAGTCTCTGACAGTTCATTGCAGTGAAATCCGGCAGGCACTCGTGCTGCTTGTAACACAGTAAAGGAACATCTGTCCATTGGGTGCAGGTTTACAGGAAAATGTCTCTCGGATTCATGATATTTACAAGGTACTTTCTCAGAGATGACTGTGGTCACAGTAACACTGTCCTGGGAAAGTTCTGTGTGTGTGTGTCCATGTACTGTCCTCTCACGCATTCCTGCAGGAAGCCCCTCCTCCTTGCCTAGCATGCAGCTTCGCCTTCTCCAAATAGAAACCCCTGCTGACCAGCTTCCTTGACCCTTGACATCTTCCACAAGTCACTTAACACTGTTTGTTGCATCAGGCTTGGTCTTTTTGCCTGGAAAAAAAAAATCATGAAGGACGATGTCCTCTGTGTAGAACAAGGGACTTGCATTGTAGAATCTTGATTTTATCCTCTTTGCAATAATGGAGATGGATCACAATGACCTAGGGAAAAGATTAGGTAATAGGGAGAAGAGATTAAGTAGTGACAGATCTTGGGAAATCTATCAAATTCCCTATCATGATTGATTCTGAAACACTCAAATACTAAAAATGAATCCAGGTAATTTAGGATCATCCAGAGTGATAAATAGTAGAATATGAAATGGGCAAGTATAACTAATCCTGGGTAAACTGTTAGGGAAAATTACTACCTACCAATAGTCTCTACTCCTCAAAACACAGATGAAAAGTAATTTCATTTCCTTAGGATGCCTATATGCAGTATCTTGCTCATGCTGCTTAAGAAAGTACAAGCTTATTACATCATTGTCTAGTGACATTTAGAGTTTCTCTTTTAAGATTTGAATGATATTTCAGGCTGTTACTTTTACTGGTCCATCACCCCAGTCCCTCCTATTCACTCACCTTCATGGGTGTCTCTTTGGACCTCTCTCCAAAACATTCAGCATCTGTAGCTCTCCCCGTATGTCCAACTGGAAGATCATTAGGTTTAAAAACTAGAGCCTTGCTTACTGAAAGCAAGTAAGATATCACTGTTTTGTTTAGAGAAAAATTAGGATGGGGTGGTCCTTGGGGAAGAGATTCCCATTGGACAGTAACTTGACTATACCATCATGGTCCAGAATGTGGCCTCACCTTTGACGCTAATGAGGTGCTTCAGAATCTGATGTATACTAATCAAATTCACAGGATGATGTAGAAAACAGAAAGTCACTTTGCTGATCTATACTGAAAAACTGATATGCTCAGTGTCCGGCTGGTTGACACATTCTCTCCACTACAGAAAACCTGTATGGGAACCAAGTCATTGTCATCAGGACACTACTTAGAACTGGAGAAAGAGAGGGGCACCTGGGTGGCTCAGTCGGTTAAGCGTCCAACTTCAGCTCAGGTCATGATCTCACAGTTCACGGGTTTGAGCCCGAAGTTGGGCTCCGTGCTGACAGCTAACTCAGAGCCTGGAGCCTGTTTCAGATTCTGTATCTCCCTCTCTCTCTGACCCTCCTGTTCATGCTGTCTCTGTCTCGGTCTCTGTCTCTCTCTCTCTCTCTCAGAAATAAATAAAACACAGGGCGCCTGGGTGGCTTAGTCGGTTAAGCGTCCGACTTTCACTCAGGTCATGATCTCGCGGTTCGTGGGTTCGAGCCCCGCGTCGGGCTCTGTGCTGACTGCCAGCTCAGAGCCTGGAGCCTATTTCGGAGTCTGTATCTCCGTCTCTCTCTGACCCTCCCCTGCTCATGCTGTCTCTCTCTCTCTCTCCTAGAAATAAATAAAAATTTTTTTTAAAAAAAGAAAGAAACAAAACATAAACAAAGATTTTTTAAAACTGGAGAAAGAGAAATACTTAGATGATCTCAATGGCATCAGACTCTGAAATCCTGATGCTCTAAGGTCACAGAATCTGAGAACAGATATTCACATGCCACACATCAGCACATGGTGATAGAGACACTGACACATTCTTCTCCGAGGCCCCTTTTTATTTTATTTTTTTTAATATAAGTTACACATGAATATATCCTCACTTTAAAATACTTAGATAATACAGAAGTATGTAGGATGAACTGTCATTTTTTATCACTACCCCACCCTACCCAAACAAACTCAATCCCTTCCCAGAGATTATCATTATTAAGTTTGGAGTAGATTCATTCAGTCTTTTTACTATATATTTTTATACACATACCATTTGCTTCTCTCTGCATCAATAAAATTGTTCTATAAGTTCTGCTGTGCTATTTGCTTTTTTTTCCTCCAGTAAAGAACATGTCTTCAAGATTTTTTTTTTTTTTTTTTTTTTTGGTATATATGGATCTACTGGGGTTGAGAGTTGGTACACACTGGTATCTCTGCACAAATTGTACATAGTCAGAGACTCATCTGACTGGACAATACTATACCACACTGGCGGTTAAACATATTGAATATCTTCTGTATAAACTTCCAGTACAGATACACTGTATACAAAAATTAACTCCACATGGTTTAAATGGCTAAACATAAAACCCAAACTCTCACCACACTTTTCTTTCCTTTATTTTTATTGTCTCAAAAAGTTTTGTTTTATTACAGTTACAACTAATGTATACTCATTCTAAAAGACAGTCCACAAAGGAAAGTACTTGAAATCCCACCACCTAGTGAAAATAGTTGGTTTTCTGATGACCTCTCTTCTAGGCATATACATGTGTACATATATTATGCATACATATTAAATTACACTGAATACCTCAGACCATAAGTAGTCACAATCTGTTCACAGAGTTCCCATAACCTACGAATCCAGTTCACACAGTGCTTTTCTTACTGAATTTAACAGATCCCCAGGCTCTATTTTGCCTTCTGATGCATAATAACAATGGAAGTTGCTATTACTTAGGCTCTTGTTCCAAACAGAGCCAGAAGCCCATTCATATTCTCTGAGGAGACACTTAAATAACCTTTGTGATGGGTCTTCCAGTAATTTACTACCAGTTTAACCACATCTCACTGCTACACTGTTAAGGCATTATACTCAGCAGTTCAAGGAAGTTGCCAGATGTTCTACCAGATAACTACAGAGGGGGTAGCTACTCTTGCTACAGTTTTAAGTACATGTGATATACAATTAGTACATTCTCTGATCTGTCCTGTAACCAATTACTCCATTGCCTGCTTCCACAATGGGCCACACTCACTCCGATTTGAGTAGGGTGGGGCCATTTCGGGGTGGGTCTGTGTTTTTAGTCTGCAGAGTTTAGGTGTGGTGGTCACTGGTGGGTCCCACTGTAGGTCTGCCACCACTTCTGAATGAGCACCCCTAACAACCCATCGTGGGCTCTCTACTTAGATTTCACTTACCCAGAGATAAGCTGTTAGGAACACAAGCGACACTGGTTTGTCTTCTGGAAACTTCTCTTCAGGAAGGGTAGGAATCTAAGGCATGAAGGCAGGAGAAAAAAGCACCCACAAACTGTTAGCTTCTAGATTCAGAGGAACTCAGGAATAGCCCATCCCTAACCAAATAATTTAAGTCTGAATGAAGAATATCATTATTCTCCTAAAAAGAGCATCACCAATGACAAAAATCAGTAAGTGGGTAGTCTTCTAAGAGACCTGACAATGCACAAAGAAAGGGGGCAGGTGCTCCTAAGGACTATCCTAGGGTAAAAATTCCTCCACAGGAGATACAGTTGGAACCAAAGCCCCCTCCCCCCACACCCCCGCCCAAACCTACTGGAAAAGCCATTGACTTCAGTAGTCAAAAGCTGTGAGGCTAAGGTAGAGGGCATTAGAACAAACACTGGCCTGAGTCAAGAAGTCTGGATTCTAGTCAGGGCTCTGCCACTAACTTGTTCAATGACCTGAAGCTAGTCACTTGATTTCATCTGTGATTTGTTTTCATATCTGTGAAATGAAAGTGGAAAACTAGTAGCAACATACAGTGATCCTCTGATTCTAAAGGATTCTAAAAACAGATGGGAAAAGAGCAAAAACCTCAAGTCCAGTCCATCTTTGATTGAGGCTGCTTATTGAGTTCATTTATTTGAAACATACTAATTGAGCAGCTACTATGGATCAAACAGTTAGATCAGCTTTTCTTGTGAAAAGGCTGAGAAAACAGCAAGGAAACTCCCCTACGGTTATCATTCCAGAATAGAAGTAGAGGAATTTCAGGAAAATAAGACTGCATCTATGTGAAGCAGAATCTCCAAGAAAGGACAGGGGGAGTCTTTTAGAAGATGTTCAGGACCCCTCTTCAGAGGAAAGGTCTTACGAACTCTGTCTGAATGGAAAGAAGCCTGTAGTAAAAGGCACAGATCTGTTACCAGTCTAATCCATCCCGATCTACCAGCACCTCCTATCTGACACTGAACAAACGAATTCGTTTCAAACTGCAACTCAACTTTAATATTCAGCTAATATGTGAACTACTGTACTCGTTGGTGGAAAATTTTTGACTTGCGATGCCCTTTCTCCTCTAGATTTTCAAAGGATTTCACGTGGCTCTACGGTAGCACTTGCCACTGTTTTGATGCTCTGATAAATGTCTTCCTCCACTGACCTTGAAGATAAGTATGACACGGGCTCCCGGGCCAGTACTCTCTGGGTTTGAATCCCTGTTCGACTATTTATTAGCCGAGTTATCTTGGGCAAATTACCTAACCTTTCTGAGCTCTTCTTTCAAATGTTATATGGCGTGGATGACTACTTCATAGGGTTGTGATGATGCATGAATGAGTTAATACACGCAAGTATTTAGGAAAATGTCTTCAACAAATAGTGCCTGCTGTTAAATATGCCTTCACATAGTACCTATTCTATTGGTATTAGAGATGAATAAAAACGTAAAGGAAATTGCTAACTCTCACATACACTCATTCAACCCACGCAACTTTGTCAACTGGAAAAGCAAGGAATAGCATTCGCTTCTGGAAATCAGAATACTGACACACTCAGAAGTCCGCTTCCTCCCTCGAGTACGTACAAACGGAACCCGGGTCTCCCGACTCCCAGACCAGGGCTCTCGAACAGCCTTCTCCTGTCCCTCTTCGCGGCGCCCGACCCCTGCTCCAAAGGTTCCCGTGCGCCGGGAAGGAAGAGGCGCTGCGGGGGGCGCGGGCCCGGCCCCGACGGTGGCGCCGCGAGATCGCCGCAGCCTGGCACGGCCGACTCGACCCCCCGGGGGCCGGCCACGGCGCCGCCCGCCAAGGTCGCGCCCCTCGAGCGTCCGGCGGCTCGCAGGCGGCCTGGACTGCGCCCGGGCCGCCGTGACGTCAGCAGCCCGCGCCGGGCCGCCCCGCGGCGGTCTCCTCTCTAGGAAGGCGAGAGCGGCTTACTCTCGACGCTTCCTCCCGGTTCAGCACCACGGTTCCGCGCGACGCCGGCGCTGCTGCTGCAGAAGCACCCCGCAAACCCACCGCGCCAGGTTCCCTCCCAGAGTACGGACACCGAACGGGTGGGTGTCTGGTCGCCCGCCACGGGGCGCTCTTACTCTTCGTCCTGCAACCTGGTCACACTGATCTTCCTAACAACTCTTCCATGTCACCGCCTTTTTTGGAGGTCTTCACAAGGGTTCCCCGAAGCTGGCTTCAACGTTCCTTATATTCTCAGCTGTCAGAAAATTGGCCTCTTCGCAGGAACCCCAGACACCCTGTGCTTCGGGATCTTTGTTCAACAAGTGGCCGAAAGAACGCAAGAGGTCTGATTTCAGCCTAAGCCCCAGAGTCTCAGCGTGTAGACTTGGGCAAGCTACTTTATTTACCTCTCTGTGCCTGTTTCCTGACTTCTAAAATAGAAATAATAGTGGTACCAACTTTCATAAGGTTATCATGAATATTAATGAAATGAAGTCGATGTGTGTAATTCCTAAGACTTGCTGGCACTTCAGAAAAGTTCAGTAAACGTTCATCCCATCGTGCTCTGCAAATCCAATCAGCCCTCTTTGTTCAGCACTGGCCAAAGGACTTCGCCAGACCTCAAGGCCCCGGTCCTCCCTGCTGCAAAACTTCAGATCTTGCTAGGACTCCTTCAGAAAATACTTGCACACACAGGCTCCTCTTGACAGTGTATTTCCCAGTGGAAGGCATGGGTAGCAGGGCACCTAATCCACCTTGGGGCAAGGTAATAGGGCACATGACCCACTTCCAGGTGTTCTTAACGATCTGCAAGCTCTGGAAAATAGGGCTGTCTGCTCACCATATCCCTAGTGTTTAATCCAGAGAGGGCACTCAATAAACACTTGAAAAAAAAAGAAGTAGATGCAGCAGAGAAGTTATCTGCTCAAACGTCCATACTGGCTGTTTACCAAAATGAAGTCCCTCCAGGAGGCTGAAATTAGGAGTGCAGATGCCCCACACTCAGGTAATCGCTAACCATGTTCAGCTAAAAAAGAACCCTTTGTAGCACTGTCAGCTGACATGCCAGGGAACAGAAACGTTGGGCTCACCTTACTTACCAAGTGTCACATTCTCCGCACTTGTTTGAAATCGGACAGCAAGCTCTTCCCCTGTAAGCCCTAACATCACACAGGCCAAGAGCCTAGGCCTAATCATTTTTTCCCCTTGTAGGCTTCAAAGAATCTAAGTCAGCAGGCTCTGCTGTGTGGGAACTAACTCTAGAGTGGGGTGCCCTAGGCAGAGCAATTTACTAGAAATCGGAATCTGGGGCTTAACATAATTTGGGCTGAGCTTCTTCAAAGAGGTAGAAAATGGAAGGGGGTGGAGGGGGAAGTGGCCACCAAAAACATCCCACAAAACTAAAATGACCTTAATCCTGTGGTGGCCAGTAGCTGAAGGCGAGTGAAACTGAAGCTACCTGGGGTCAAAGCTAGACTTCTGCATTATGTAGGAAGAAAGACAAAATCAAAATGCAAAGCCATTTTATTTCTCACACTCACACACAGGAAGGTCTGAGGGCAAAAAAGCTTTTTCATCTAAAATGAGCTCCCAGGGGCACCTGGCTGGCTCAGTCAGTAGAGTGTGTGCCTCTTGATCTTAGGGTTGTGAGTTCAAACCCCATCTTGGGTGTAGAGATTACTTAAAAAATAAAATCTTAAGGGGCGCCTGGGTGGCTCAGTCAGTTGAGCATCCCACTTCAGCTCAGGTCATGATCTGGCGGTTCATGGGTTCAAGCCCCACATTGGACTCTGCTGGCCGTGCAGAGCCTGCTTGGGATCCTCTCTCTGTCCCTCCCCCACTTGTGCTGTCTCTCAAAATAAATAAATAAACTTTAAGAAATAAATATAATCTTCAAGTGAGCTCCTCCCACCCTCACAAGCAGGGCAAGATTGGAGCCCTAAGCGGTCAACTCTATAATAAACACAACTAAAGAGGCATCATGGAACAGAGGTATGACCAATAAAGAGAAATCTGAAGGAAAAGCGAGAAAGGATACGGGAGTTTTCACATTGACACTTACTAGCTGCGTGACCTTGGGCAAGTCCAACCACCTGCATTCTCTACTGTTTTGAGGATGTGATGTGGCCTCATCCCATGTCCTTCTGAAATCACAAATTAAATTTCAGCACGCTGACAATAAGCAACACATTCCAGCTCTTTATCGTCCTGAGCCAAGGAAAGCCATGAGCTCAGGAGGTGCTTCCACAGTTGGGATTACTACTAAGCTCAATCACTCTCCTGCCAGGCCAGCATCACTTTGCAGCTCCTGCTTATTTCATGGAGCTCCTGCTTATTTCAAGTGGCTGTGCTTCTTCAGCTGCAAGCATTTGCCTCTTCCTGGTGACCCTGACATCAACACGATGTCTGAAAGTACTTTGTTAAACTGTGATGGGACATGTAAATGGCTAATTTGTAACAAAACAAGTGGGGTTTTTTGCTACCAAATATTATTTTCTCTTAAGGGACCCTCTGCTTAATACAACCACATAATCTGTATCTTGGGGAAAGGTTTGGAATTCTCCCACCTCGTGGACACACTGGTATACTTACCACACCTCCCTTCTGCTGGTAACTGTGGACCTAAGTTATAGCCTGCAGGTAGCCCCAGAGAAATGTCTGACTCAATATTTTAGTTGAGCTCAACAAATATTTACTGAACACATTCTTAAGTTCCAGGGACTGTGGATACAAACATGAATAAATATCACAGGGCCCCAGCTTTGCCACAGCTGACAGTTCAGTGGGAAGAGAAAGATCTGTAAACAAGCTATTACAATGTAACAGGATAAATAAAATGAAGGTACAAAATACAGAAATAAAAGGTATGTGAGGTCAGATGCAGCTTCAAAGGAGATGCTGCATGAGCACATTCAGAAGTGACAAATGGCAGCTTCCCAGGCAAGAAGGACGGAAATTGAGGCAATAGGAACAGGATGTGCAAAAGGTGCCGAAGTTGAGTCCAGCAGTGACATGGAATCACAGAATTTGCCGCTTGGAACAGCATGTGATGCAGGGAGTGGCACCTGAGAATGATGATGTAGGCATGGGCCAGTGGAGGAGCCTTACATGCCTAGTAAGGGGCTAGAATATTCTGAAATAACAGCAGAGTTGCCAGCTGTGTCTTTCGGAGACCATCAGGAAGAAATGTGAAAAACAGCCTAGTGGGTAACTGGAAGACTGACTGGGAAAATAGAAGGAAAGTGGTCTAGGAAATAACATGGGAGTGGACTAAAGCAGCAGCAATGGAAATGGCTTCGAGATTTAGGAGATGTAAGCAGGATACAGTGGTTGCTTGGAGACGAAGACGGAGCACAAGATTGACTGACGGGGCGATTCCAAGATCTGGGGCCAAGCTAGAGTAAGTAGGCACATGGTCGGCCAGCAAATGAGACAAAACCGGGAGCAAATGCGTGCAGGTGTGAGAATATGGGATAAGGAGAATAGAAAGATGACAAGTTCCTTTCCTTCCTGTTTTCCCAGGAAGTGAAAACGGTACCAAAAAGTGGTACCATTAAAAAAAGAGTTGTGTCTATTCTAATTTGGAAAATCTTTCGAACAAGAACTTGGAGATATTTCATCCTTAGATTTCCCATTTCTTCCTTAAGAAAACTCTTCCAAATCTCTCTAATCTCAACTCAAAGCTCCAAAGATAGTAATGTATAAATATTACTCTAAACACTACATAACCCAGGAAGTTGCTAAAGCTTCTGGTGGGCAAAAGTTGATTGAAATATATTAATTCAACAAATATTTATTGAACATATACTATGTGCCAGCAATGAATTCTATAGTGTTATTTTCATTTATAAAGTACAAGTACATCAATATTTCCTTTCAATAATATAATTTTTCATGAACATAAAGTTTTAACAGGGTTATTTTTGTCCATAAAGTATTGATTTACTCGATTATTAATTGCCCTGTGGCAGGTTTTGAATATAATGTTTACAGCTAGAGAGGAAGACAGTGATATTTCTGCCACATTCCTATCAATGGTAATTAATAGCTCAAACCACTACTTACAAGGCAGTTGCTCTGGAAAAAAAGAATTAATACTGAGTTCTAAGTAACCAACCATTCCAGAAACAACTGACTTTGTTTTTAATAGTCATTATTTTTAAAACTAGTATAAACTTCAGAGGACAGAAAGTATTCCAAATACCAGTCAAAGGCTATCCTTACCTCATCTCTCAGAGCTCAAGCTCTGGGTAGCAATTAAGATCATGAAAGGGAGTAAGGAAATAAAGGAGGAAAAAAAGTCTTTTAAAAGAATAAAATACTGTCATAGTCAGTGGCTAACTGTACTGTCTCAATATTCAAGGATTTGAAAAAGAGGTGATTATCTCTAGAACCCTTTCCAAATTGTTCCCATGACGGTGTTTCCCTAACTACACCTAACCTGCAGGGAAAGGTAAAATATCCAAGAATAAGACAGTCCCAATAAAAACGGAAACATTTGAAACCTAACTAATCTGTTTATAGCCACAAATGGCATAATTAAATGAAACCTAGCCCTCCCCACTACAATGACTGACATTCTCTTCAGGACTGGTCCAGCAGCCCTGAATCCAGCCAACCTAAAAGGCCGTCTTCATCACTAATGGTTTCTCCTGCCTAAATGTCCATTGACAGCCGTTTGGATGTTGTCCCTCAGCACCAGCAGCCTACCACATGCGATTTCCCTCCTGGGTAAGTCAATGCTCCTCTTCCTGGACCTCTGAGCAGATCTGACTCCCTTTCCACAAACTGGCTTCACTCAAGTTTCTCTTGACCTCCTACTTCCATTTTAGCCCCAAATTGCCTTCCAGCTTGAAAGGATCAGGAAAGATCTCCCTCACCCTGATAAAAACCTTCTTCACGAACATATCTGTAGACATAAGCCCAGTTCTTGCCACGTACCCCCTTATTTGTTGAGTGAATGAATAAGGAGTCTTTGTTTTCCCTTATTTCTGCCTCGCCTTCATGAGACTACGTCTACAGATGGCATTTTCAGAGCAGCCTCAGACACCTCAAGGCCACGGAGCACTACCTCAGAACTCTTGCCACTTTCACACTGAACGTTTGGAAAAGCACCTCAGCCTACTGGCCAGAGGACACGGGTCACAAGCTGGGGAGGTGGGGGCAGGAGTGCAGTAAGGGAAACACAAGTGCCAACTTAACAGATGGCACCTCAAGATATGACGGTCACAAGGAGGAAGAGTGGCAAGCAGCAAGGATTTATCTGAAAAGCAGGAACTTTCTTTCTACCCTGAATTCCCAGATGCCCGGCTGAATGCTCTGCATTCTCCAAGCTCCCGCCTCCATAACTAGAAATAATCTTCTGAGTGTAACAGTCAGTGCTCCCTCCAGGAAACGTACCTGCCTCTCTGCCCCCAGCCAGATTCCTAGTCACTCTTTCTAGAGAAGCTGTCATAACCTGAACGCCTGGGTTATTCACCGCTGTGAAGTTTCTGATGTCTGAAAAGGACTGAACTATGTCTGAAGAATTTTCCACATTCAATGCATTCATAGGGCTTCTCACCAGTGTGAATTCTGTAGTGTTCACTAAGGTGTGCATACTTGCGGAAAGTTTTCTCGCACTCGCTACATTTATAGAGCTTCTCACCAGTGTGCATTCTATGATGTTCAGTAAGAGATGAGCTATGAGCAAAGGCTTTCCCACATTCTTTACACTTATAGGGCTTCTCTCCAGTATGAATTCTCATATGCTGAGTGAGGCAGGTATTCTGATTAAAGCCCTTCCCACATTCATTGCATTTATAGGGTTTTTCTCCAGTGTGACTTCTCTGATGCCGAATGAGGCAAATGCTCTGAATGAAGGCTTTACCACATTCACTGCATTTGTAAGGTCTCTCCCCTGTATGAATTCTCTGATGTTTAGCGAGTGGGGTGCTCTGAGTAAAAGCTTTGCCACATTCCTTACATTTATAGGGTTTTTCTCCAGTATGAATTCGCTGGTGTTTAATAAGGGAGGGGCTCTGACAAAAGGCTTTGCCACATTCCTTACATTTATAGGGTTTCTCTCCAGTATGAATTCTCTGATGCTGAGAGAGGTTTGCCTTTGTTTGGAAAGTCTTCCCACATTCGTCACATTTATGGGGTTTCTCCCCAGTGTGAATTCTCTGATGTTGTGTAAGGTTTGAGTGTTTACGGAAAGAAGAGCCACATTCATTGCATAAATAAGGTTTCTCACCAGTGTGTATCCTCTGATGATGAATGAGGTGTGTGTTCTGATTGAATGCCTTCCCGCATCGATTACACTTGTAAGGTTTCTCTCCAGTGTGAATTCGCTGATGTTCAGTGAGATGGGAATGATTGCGGAAGGAATTCCCACATTCGTTACACTTATAAGGCTTCTCTCCAGTATGGATTCTTTGATGTTGAGTAAGAAATGATCGACACCGAAAGGTTTTCCCACACAGCTCACATCCATATGGTTTTACTCCGGTGTGAATTCTTTGATGTTGAACAAGGAAGGAGCTACGACTGAAGGCTTTCCCACATTCCTCGCATGCATAGGGTCTCTCTCCAGTATGAGTCCTCTGATGATGGGTAAGGGATGAGCTCTGAGTAAAAGTTTTTCCACATTCATTACATTCCCAAGACTTTTTCTGCGGAGAGAGGGTTGGACATTTACTCTGGTCTGAAATCTCACTGGTGTGTATGCTACTTGTCTCCCACTGATGTAGGCCCTCTTGTGTAGAAACCCTGAGATGTGTAACAAAGCTTGAGGTCAAAAGCAAGCTTCTCTCAAAATTATATTCTTGGCTAATCATTTCAGGAGATACTTCCTTGCGGATAAAAGTTATTCCCCCCAAACCTCCTTCTTTGAAAAGACGTGGTCCTGGAAGCTCTCCGGAAGGGTTTTCCTTCACGCTCCCACATGCATATTTTTCTTCAAATGTAGTATCCTGGTATGTATCCTCTCGCAGGCTCTTTGCTACTACCCCTGGTGAATCAGTTTCAGAGACATCCTGCTCTGGAACAGACTTGCTCATCAGATCTGAAAGAAGACATTAGAGTGAATATCTCTTGTGCAGGGCGGAGGGGGGAAGGGAAGCCCCTGAAGTTAGAGGGGTCTTGTTCTTTTTTTTTTTTTTTTTTTAATATTTTTATTTATTTCTAGGAGAGAGAGAGAGAGAGACAGTGTGAGCAGGGGAGGGTCAGAGAGAGAGGGAGTCACAGACTGAAACAGGCTCCAGGCTCTGAGCTGGCAGTCAGCACAGAGCCCGACACGGGGCCCGAACCCATGAACCGCAAGATCATGACCTAAGCGAAAGTCGGACACTTAACCAACTAAGCCACCCAGGCGCCCCAGAGGGGCCTTGTTCTGACATGTCTCAGCAATGGCATAGAAGTAAGGACTGATAAAAGCAAGTAGGGCAAGTCATTCAATTCTAAGTGGTGCAAGAGATTGGTGTTAGGGTACGGGGATCACCATTAATAAGGAACCCCAAGAAACAGGAAGTGAGAGAACCAGAGACAACAGAAATGCGGGGAAAATGACGAATGATACCAAGCTAAGATCAGGGCACGGTTTGTATTCAGAGTGGACCGTGGGCAAGTGTCCAAGCGCGTACTGGAAAGGAGACAAAATGAGTACTGGGGGAAAGTTGGCCCCAGGAGATGCTCACCCACATCTTCCCCCAGTGGCCCCCAACATCCCTCTAGGACAGGGTAATTTTCCTTCCTGAGTTTCAGTCAGTTTCTCTTGCACAATTTCCAAAGCCCCAGTTTCTCCCCCTGGTTCTCCCTTGCTCACTCACCTGGACAAACCTCTCTTCCGAGCTCTGGCTCTTCAGCTCCTTGCATGTTCAACATCCACAAATCTTCTCTTTGCTTTGACTGGAAAACACTTCAGAGTTGGAAAACTGGGAGCCCTGCTCATAGGGGAAAAAAGGTGGGGGAGGGGATATCACTGTCCCAGTAAACAGGAAAATGATAAAGAACTATTGCCTAGGAATGTCATCTAATAATTGACACAAAACGTCTAGATCGCACAGTGACTGCATCAGCACAAATGGCCTCAGGCTTGCAGCCTTCCAGCTTCACAAATTCCATTTGTCAGCTCTGTGAAAAGTGACAGCCAGACGGACACATTAGCAAACACTCAAGCGTTGGGTGAATAAATCAGAATGTTATTTACAATGACAAAAATACCTATGAAGTGGATATAAGTATTCATGTCAATAGGTGCACTCTGTCTTTATACAACAATCTGTATGAAAAGTCCAAACAGGGGCACCTGGGTGGCTCAGTCGGTTGAGTGTCCAGCTTCAGCTCAGGTCATGATCTCGTGGTTCGCGGGTTCGAGCCCCACATCAGGCTCTGTGCTGACATCTAACTAAGAGCCTGAAGCCTGTTTCAGATTCTGTGTCTCCCTCTCTCTCTGACCCTCCCCTGCTCACGCTGTCTCTCTCTCTCTCTCTCAGAAATAAATAAAAAACATTTTAAAAAAAGAAAAGTCCAAATAATTAAAAGGTGCACAGGGAAATGGTCTCATAATAAAGCTAATGCTTTAAGTCTGATCCACTCATCACCACTATATGCTATGGAGCTGGAGAGTAGTGAGGGAACTCTCTCTGTCCGTACAACGTAGAGGTATACCAATTGCCCTTTCTTCCAGATGTCACATCAACTGCACAGTTTCTCTTCTGGCACAGCTCAACATTAAGAGAGTAGGCTGCAGTTGAAAAAATAAAAATTTCATTTAAGTTGTGAAATAATCTTTGACTTACAAAAAATTTGCAAAAATAGTACAGAGAGTTTCTCATGTTTGTAATATTGGATCACAACTGTTCATCCAAAAATGTCTCTCCATCTAACCCTGAAGTGAAAAGTAGAATCCACAGCATTATTGGAAGGAAAAAGGAAGTCAGAGAGATGATTTTTACCGTAACCAAGTACTCAAAATGCATGTATGAATGGCACGAGTCTACTGAAATACATAAGGCTGGTACTGTGGTATTCACATCAAAGTCTGTGCCTCTGTGTTAAATTGTAAAGGTTTAAGAGGATCCTATCTGGGATTTCCAGATCCCATTCTAGAAGAGGGGCATAGAAAGAACTCACAACACAATCCTACAGAAGACCATGAAGTAGAGTGGGGTTTCAGTATAATCAGAGTTAAACAGTGAAGAAAAAGTCAGACATGCCCCCACCTGCCCAGAACTTACATTTCAGCTGCACAAAGACATTAAAGTGTAATTACAATTATGGGAATTACAAAAATAGAAATATGAGATGCTGGAATGTAGAGCAAAGGGGCCCTGATGTAGTCTTGGAAAGAAAGCCGCCCTGAAAAAGAGACCAATAGGAATGAGACAGGTGAGGGCAGAAAAGAATATACCAGAGATATGAAACGGTACACAAATGGAATTGTGCTCACAAATCTGGAAAAATGAAAAAGAGATCCAGTAAGATAAAGTATTAAGCACAAAAATAAAATATGAAGCCCAAGGCTAGCAAAAGCTAGATCAAATACAACCCTGCAAACCATTTTAGGGAATTTACCTTAAAGTGAGTAGAAAGCCACCAAAGGAATATGAAATGGTTTGGGGGCAAAAAGTGACATGGGTATATCTGCTGTTTAAACAAAAAACACATCCTTGGACAACACCTGGGTGACTCAGTTAAGTGTCTGAGTTCAGTTTGGGTCACAATCTCACAGTATGTGAGTTCGAGCCCCTCATTGGGCTCTGTGCTGACCGCTCAGAGCCTGGAGCCTGCTTCGGAATCTGTGACTCCCTCTCTGCCCCTCCCCAGCTCACGCTCTGTCTCTCGGTGTCTCTCAAAAAACAAACATAAATTTTTAAGGAAAAAAAAAAAAGCCTGGCAAAGGTATGGGGAAAGAGAGCTTCTCATACACCAGCAATGGGAATGTAAACTGGTACCATCCTTCTAGAGGTACTTATGCAATATATATTAGGCCTCGAAGTTGTAGGCTAACTTGCAGCTGGAATACTGGGATCAATATTTGGGGATATAGGAAATCAGAAAAGAATATTCACTAAGTACATACAACACCTACAATCTATCTGAGAAGGTCCTTAAAGTCCTCAGTATGACTACAGAACGCCTGTATTCTTCAACCGAGTAATTACACTATTAGACCTTTCTCAGGGTGCCTCCATGGTTCAGTCTGTTAAGCAGCCAACTTTGGCTCAGGTCATGAACTTGTGGTTTGTGAGTTCGAGGCCCGCCTCCGGCTCTGTGCTGACAGCTCAGAGCCTGGAGCCTGCCTCAGATTCTGTGTCTCCCTCTCTCTCTGTTCCTCCCCAGCTTGTACTCTGTCTTTCTCTCTCTCTCAAAAATAAATAAAGATTAAAAAAAAAAAAAAAACCTTTTGGGGCGCCTGGGTGGCTCAGTTGGTTGTGCGTCTGACTTTGGCTCAGGTCATGATCCCGCGATTCGTGGGTTCGAGCCCCGCATTGGGCTCTGTGCTGACAGCTAGCTCAGAGCCTGGAGCCTGCTTCGGATTCTGTGTCTCCCTCTCTCTCTGACCCTTCCCTGCTCACGCTGCCTCTCTCTCTCAGAAATAAATAAAACATTAAAAAAATTTTTTTAAAAAAAACTTTCTCAGAAAGAAGAAACTTCTCAAAGAAGAAAAAAGCTGTATTCTTTGTTACCTGTAAACAAAAAAATACTCTGCAATGTTGTTGGAAAACACAACCTTTCTACTCAAGGACACTGATGCTTAGCAAATCATGGTACTTCCACGGGGTGGCAATTATACACATATTAAAATAATGTAAAATGAAAATATGTGATCATTTGGAAAAGTATGCTCTATATAAACAAAAACATGCAAGATATTAAATTTCCAAGTATATCATATATATATTAAAATGTACATATGAATAAAATCAAGGAAAATTAATCATCAATCACTATGGTGATATGGTATATTACCAATGATTTTCTCTTCTACTTCCCAAATTTCTTCTGTTATCTATATTTTGCTTTCTTTTTTAAAAAACTAACTTAAATCTCTAAGAATATGTATCAAATTGTTAATCATGATCATCTCTGAAGAACAGGATTCTGGTAAACTTTTGTCTTAAGGCCTATATTTGTATAATGCTTTAAAGTTTTTCTGTAGGAATAAACAGTTTCTATAATCAGAGAAAAAAGGGAAACATGTAATCCAGAGATGGTCACAGAAATTTATGTACAAAGATCACACTGTTAATATAACTGTAAAACAACAGGCAAATAAACACTGATGGCATATGGATATGATAGATTTTGTAACTGTTAAAAATCATATTTCCAAAGAATATTCATGAGAAAATACAATATGTTAAAACAGGAGAGCACAAAACCAAACATTGAAAACACAAGAAACAAATGTTGAAGACAATGTGGAGAAAAAGCAACCCTCGTGCACTGTTGGTGGGAATGCAAACAGGTGCAGCCACTGTGGGAAATGGTATGGAGGTTCCTCAAAGAGTTAAAAATAGAAGGTGCCTAAGTGTCCATCAATAGATGAATGGATAAAGGCATAGTATATGTACACAACACAATATTAGTCAGCCATAAAAAAGAATAAAATCTTGCCATTTGCAACAACATAGAGCTAGACAGTATGTTCAGTTTAATAAATCAGAGAAAGACAAATACTGTATGATTTCACTCACATGGAATTTAAGAACCAAAACAAATGAGGGGCATCTGGGTGGCTCAGTTGGTTGAGCACCCAACTCTTGATTTCGGCTCAGGTCATGATCTCACAGTTTGCAGGATCAACCCTGCATCAGGGTCTGTGCTGACAGTGCAGAGCCTGCTTTAGAATCTCTTTCTCTCTCTGCCTCTCTCCCTCTCTCTTAAAAATAAATAAATCAACATTAAAAACAAAACAAATGAGCAAAGAGAGAGAGAGGTAAACAAGAAAAAGACTCTTAAGTACAGAGAATAAACTGATGGTTCCCTGAGGGGTGATGGGAGGGGATGGGTGAACTAGGTGATAGGGATTAAAGTGTACACATATCAGGGTGCCTGGGTGGCTCAGCCAGTTAATCGTGCAACTTTGGCTCAGATCATGATCTCACAGTTAGTGGATTTGAGATCCACGTCAGGATCTGGGTTGACAGCTCAGAGCCTGGAGCCTGCTTCGGATTCTGTGTCTGTCGCTCTCTGCCCCTCCCCTACTCATGCTCTGTCTCTGTCTCTCAAAAAATATACATTAAATTTTTTTTTAATTTTAAAAAAGGAACAAGAGAAAATTACATAAATCTGACTTTAGAAAAATTATCTAAATGCTTGCTTAATGCTGATGTATTCACTCTGCTAGTCTCTTAGGTGTCATGAAGTCATGGGGCTTGTTTGCGTTGTTCACTACAAATATCCTAAATGCTTATCACAGTGTCTGGTTCTCAATGATTCCAGAGGAAGACTGATTCTCAGCAGTTACTGCTCTGGAATAGGGTGAGGGCAGAGAAGCAGAATCTGGCAACTTTGTAAACTTTTGTGTATGGGTGCTGGAGAACCTTTTAGTGAATGAATCTGCAAGGAAACACAGCATCTAATTCTCAGGGTTCCTGCCTTAGCTCATGAATGAAACTGATAATCTCAATCTAAAACTTCAAAGGTATACCTTTTAACTTTGCTACAGTAATGGCTCACGGACATATTAACAGCTCTCAAAAACCTGGACCTCACTAATTGGAACAATCAGTCTTGATAAATAGACGTAATGGTTGTTAATATAAGAACCATACTCTGGAAGAACAGATCTTTTTTTTTAATGTTTTATTTATTTTTGAGAGAGAGAGAAAGAGACAGCGAGAGTAGGGGAGGGTCAGAGAGAGAGGGAGACACAGAATCCGAAGACAGACTCCAGGCTCTGAGCTAGCTGTCAGCACAGAGCCCGACACAGGGCCCGAACCCACGAACCACAGTATCATGACCTGAGCCGAAGCTGGACACTCAACCGACTGAGCCACCCAGGTGCCCCCTGGAAGAACAGATCTTAAACAGATCAATTTGGGGGGCACTTGAGTGGCTCGGTTGGTTAAGCATCCAACTTCAGTTCAGGTCATAATCTCATGGTTTGTGGGTTTGGGCCCTGAGTCAAACTCTTGTGCTGACAGCTCAGAGCTGGGAGCCTGCTTCGGATTCTGTGTCTCCCTCTCTCTCTACCCCTTCCCCACTTGTGCTCTGTTTCTCTCTCAAAAATAAATAAGCATTAAAAAAATGTTTTTAAACCAGAATACAAAACACTAAAATAAAAAATATGCATACATATACCAGCACGAAGTAACCGTTCAATAAACAGAAACTATTATTAACACACAGGTATATATAAAACACAAAGATCAGAAGAAAATCCACCAAAATGTTAACACACTGATCCCTAGGTCATTTAATGGGTTACTTTCTTTGTCCTTTATGCTCTTCTATATAGTTTACTTTCCCTACAACAAGCATGAATTATTTTTATAGTCAGGGAAATAATCATGTAAAAAAAATGATAGTTCCTGCTCACGGGCTTCACAGCCAAAACTCCAGAAACGAAAGCAACAACGTCATCAAAATGCCACATCCAATGAGTATGGTATTGGCCTCTCATTCAGAGAAAGATTAAAGTGAACTGATGTGAGAATCAGGAAGCTACTGTCACAGCCCATGTGAATGGGCCTATATGACTAGCTATTTATCTGAAAAAACTAACAAATTAGATAATATCCATGGGTCCGTTCAGCTTTAACATTCTGTGAATCCTTAACTAAATGAGTTAATTCATACAAAACACTTATAAAGTATCTTCCACATGGCGGGCATTCCACAGGGGTCAAGCATTAGGAGAAGGGAAGATGTCTTGGTGACAACCCTCTCCTCCAAGTGTGGGTCATCTAGACCGTCAGCAGTTTGTGTCAAATCGCAAATAGTTTCTGTAAAGGGCTAGAAAGTAAATATTTTAGGCTTCATGAGCTATATGGTCTCTCTCTGTCATGACTATTCAACTTTTCCTTTTGTAGTCTCAAAAAAGGAAGTAGACAATATGGAAACAAATGAAGTTGGCTGTGTTTCAGTAAGACTTTTTTTTTTTTAAGTTTTTTAATGTTTTATTTATTTCTGAGAGAGAGAGAGAGAGCGTGAGCAGGGGAGGGTCAGAGAGAGGGGGTGATACAGAATCTGAAGCAGGCTTCAGGCTCTGAGCTAGCTGCAAGCACAGAGCCCGACACGGGGCTCGAACCCACGAAACATGTGATCATGACCTGAGCTGAAGTCAGACACCTAACCGACTGAGCCACCCAGGCGGCCCCCCCCCCTTTTTTTTTTTAATAAAATCAGGTGATAGATCAAATTTGGCTTATGGGCCATAGTCTACTGACTCCTCATCTATAAATTCCCCATAAAGGAATGTACAAGTGTATCCACCAATGCCTGGTGTAGAACAGTGTGGTTGTCAGTGATTTTAACATGATAAAAGGATCGTTTGAATCAGGTTTGGGGGAGAGAGGGAATTATGGTGAAGGGTAAAATGAAAGAAACTTTTAATATCTTAATCCTGTTAAAAGTAATAGAGAGGTAGCCCTCTCCTCAAACCTTGTAAGCTTTCTCCTCGCTGCCACCTCCTTACCTCTCAATAATTAGTGAAAGGATTATGGGCAAGCCAGGCGGGCTTTTCCACGAATTTGAAATCACAGTTCTTTCAACAAGACCACACTCAAATGTCCTCCTCTCTGAAGCCCTTCTTGGATTTGTCGGTTGGCCAAAAGTAACCTACTCATGCGGGCTGCAAGCAGCACAGTCTAACTCTCTTCTGCACCTTGGGTCACTTAGTAGCAATGTGTCGGGGACAGTCATCTATCCCTTCCGCACCTCAGCACCCTCATTAAAAACTACAGGTAATACATTGTTGTGAATGTTACGTTAGTGTAAGTGCTTCCAACAGTGCCTGATACATGTTAAGTGCTAAATAAGTGTAGTTTAAGATACTGTCACAAAAATCTGCTAACATCTGTATCTTCCAGCATTAGACTGGACGCATGTTGGCACATTTTAGGCTCCAACTCACTCATTCTGGAGCCCCGCCCCTGAGTTCTGGATCCCATTTGGCCCGTAATGGAGAGTAAAATTTTGTAGCAAGACACTGACGTTTCCGTACGTGCTGTCACATACGTGCTGTCAACTGACTACTAGACAGTCCAACTTTATAGGTCAAGAAAGAGCCTCTGTAGCCTCAAGAATTATAACTCAGAGACTCGCGACTAGCCACCTGGTGCCCTTTACACTACTGCCGTTTCCTATTACGACAGTCCCTAAAATGTTTCTGAGCTGCAGTATTCATGGTGGGGGGGGGGGGGGTAGCTGGTACTCAGACTCAGAACTCTGAGCCCCGGGACTTGGTTTCCAAACACGGGTACGGGTCCTAGCTCTTGATCACCCACCTACCCATCACTCGGTCATCACTCATTCATCCCTTCCACCATTTTCTTAGACGTCTGCTCGGTGCTGGGCCCGGTGCGGAGGCCGCCGGGAGTTCCGGGCCGCACGCGCGGGACGCAACCTGGGGGCGTGGGGGGTGGGGCGGGGATCGGGGCCGGGGCGGGCTTTGCACACCTGCCTCCGCCCGCCGCCCCGGCCCAGGGCGCCCGGAGCCGCTCTTTTCCCCTCCCGAAGGCCCCGCCCGCTCACCGTGAGGTCCGGGGACTCCCCGCGGGCGGCAACTACTGTCCCACAGGTGAGCGCGAGCCCAGGAAACAGGTTTACCCGCCAGGCCGGAAAGGCAGCGGCGCGGCCGGTAGTGCGTCATCCGCGGCTCCTCGCCCCTTGTTTGGCGTATCCTTCTGCTGCTTCTCTAGGACGCGGGAGGAGCGTCTCGATGGAGCCCTCAGAGGCAACGATTCGGGCCTGGTTTCCCTCCAAAACACGGCCGCGTGCCTGATGTCCCAATAAAGAGTACCTCTGCTCGGAACGTAGTGACCACATCGTCCCTCAGGCGGACTGTAGATGGGGTCATTAGTGTTGGAAAGAGTGCTGGGTAGGAGTAGGAATAGGCTGTCTCACCAAGGCGCTAGATATGCTAAAAACTTAGACCCTGATTAAGATCCCTTAGTTAGAATAATAGATTCCCAGTCTAGGCCCTCACACACTGACCTGACCCAGCAATATCTCTTATTCTGCTATCATTCATATTCTCTTCTCTATCATAAATGCATTCCCATTGGCACCCTGAAATCTCTGGGCTGTCCCTGACCCTGGATCTGTTTTCTGGGATTTGCCCCTCTGGTATATTCTCCCTCCCTTCCACCTACTCTCTGCCGCATCCACCATTCAAGTTGTACTGGTTCTTCAAGACCCAGTTCAAATCTTTACTTGACCTTCACTAGTGTTTATACTCCGCTGTCACCCCTATGAGTAGTTCCAGCTCTAGCTTCCTTCCTATTTTTTTTTTTTTAATGTTTTATTTATTTCTAGGAGAGAGAGAGAGAGACAGCATGAGCAGGGGAGGGTCAGAGAGAGAGGGAGTCACAGATTGAAACAGGCTCCAGGCTCTGAGCCGGCAGTCAGCACAGAGCCCGACGCGGGGCTCGAACCCACGAACCGCGAGATCGTGACCTAAGCGAAAGTCGGACGCTTAACCGACTAAGCCACCCAGGCGCCCCTCTAGCTTCCTTCCTAAATACACACACTTGTCCACTTTCACACGTTATTAGGGAGATATAAACGGGTAACATTCCACCCATAGGCAACTATGAAGGACCCAATTCATCTCCGCAGAACCCTACCCAGTTAATGTGGAGCTGTTACTTACCATCATATCGCAGTGTTTAGCAATATCTGGCAGAGAAGGTATTCAATAAATATGTATTGAATCCATTAATCAACTACAAAAGTAAAGTTCAGATTAATTGTATTTTTGAGAAATTGAAAAATGTAAATATCATAGCTTACTGTTTTCTCAAATGATTCACTTCTGCAAGGAGAATATATGAAAAAAAAAAAGTCTACGCACCTAACAGTTTGTCTCTAGAAAAGAAAAAAATACTAGTAATTCAGCTTTTTTAGTCCAACCAGGTTGTAGGAAACATATAGTCCATGGAGGTGAATTTCCTTTCTCTGTGTGATACGGTTATTGAAAACTTGGGCATTTTGTTTGTTTTTCAGCAAAGCAGGCCAAATGAACACACTATTTAGAACACACTGTTAATGTATGTATTAATAGAAATATCACTAATAGAAATATATTTTTTTTTCATCTAAGTAAGATACCCTTACTAGTAACTCAGATCTCCCTCCCAAGAGGGCAAGACAGAATACACAGTCAGTGCTAGATTTTAGAATACTTTTTGAGACACTAAATATTAAAAGATATGGTGAGACACCTCCAATCTCAATACACAATTAAAAGATAATAACCATGGTGCGGGGAGGAAGAATTAGAGCATGGTGGTCAAAGAAAGAATTAGACATCCACAAAGATATATGTTGCTTCTCTACATGAGAGAGTAGTGCACCTAACTTTATTCCCCTCCGCAGGTTATATAAAGAAAACAGGGCACAGAGTTGTAAATTTCTCTCTGAAAAATAAATAGCTGTTATCACACACTTCTTCCCACCTCAGGGTACACGTAGCACCCAATGCACAATACTATTATTGCTTCTCTCCATTAAATATAACTGCCAATTAATCAGCTTTCCTTCTCTGCAAAGTTATATGAAATGTACAATACAGATGTGCATGTTGAGTGGTAGCTGATTTCATGAAACACACATAGCACAACATTTCGTGTTGCTTCTCTCATAGAAAAGTTGGGAATCGATGATCTACAGACCAGATCTAGCCCACTATTTGTTTTTAAAGTGGTTTTATTGGAACAAGTCATGCCTGTTCATTTACTTTTTATCTGTGGAGGCTTTTACACTACAAGGGCAGTGTCAAAAAATTGTGACAGAGACCATACGGCTTATAAAGCCTAAAATATTCGCTATCTGACCCTTACAGAAAAAGTTTGTTGACCCCCTGTTCTAGTGAAATCCATGCTTTGGTTACTCATCTGCTCTCTCAAGCAGGCTCCATGACATTCTCACTGCACAGAAATATATGTTGCCTCCTAAGAGACATCCATTTAATGGTAGCCTAGTTTTCCTTCTTCTTTTTTTTTTTTTTTTTTAATGATTTCATTTACTTTTGAGAGAGAGACAGAGACAGAGTAGGGTAGGGTCAGAGAGAGGGAAACACAGAATCTGAAGAAAGCTCCAGGCTCCCATCTGTAAGCACAGAGCCCAATGTAGGGCTCGAACTTGTGAACCACAAGATCATGACCTAAGCTGAAGTCAGACGCTCAACCAATTGAGCCACCCAGGCGCCCCTTAGTTTTCCTTCTTATACAGACGCAACATAAATCTCAATGTAGAGGGGCGCCTGGGTAGCCCAGTCCATTAAGGACTTCAGCTCAGGTCATGACCTCACAGTTTGTGGGTTCGAGCCTTGCATCAGGCTCCGTGCTGACAGCTCAGAGCCTGGAGCCTGCTTCAGATTCTGTGTCTCCCTCTCTCTCTGCCCCTCCCCTGCTCCCCTGCTCGCTTGCTCTCTCTCACTCTCTCTCTCTCAATAATATATTTTTTAAAAGAACATTTAAAAATTGAAGAAGTTTAAAAAAAGAAATTTATCCTATAGATTTATCAGTAATAGAATAACATAGGCCAAGGTTATGCCTTCCAGCATTGTTTGGAATATCAAAAGATCATTGAATATTAGTGTTTATTCCAACGTACTTGGAAAATGAATTCTAGTAAATCTATTCGGTAGATTCCCATGCAGAAAAGGGTAAGGAAATTATATACTGATAGAATGCTTAGAATGACTTATAAGACATTGTCAAATGAATAGGAACAAAATTAAAATGGTGCCTAGGAGCACCTGGGTGGTTCAGTTGGTTAAGTATCCAACTTTGGCTCAGGTCATGATTTCACAGTTTGTGGGTTCAAGTCCTGCATCATACTCTGTGCTGACAGCTTGGAGCCTGGAGCCTGCTTTGGATTCTCTGTCTCCTTTTTTTCTCTGCCCCTATCCTGCTTGCACTCTCTCAAAATAAATAAATAAATAAATAAATAAATAAATAAATAAATAAAGTTTTAAAAATAAACAAACCAAAAACACAATGCCTAGCTAGTACACTACCATTTGTACTGTTTAGAGAGAGAGAGAGAGAGAGAGAGAGAGAGAATCTCAAACAGGCTCTATGCTCAGCATGGAGCCCGACTCAGGGCTTAATTCCATGATCCTGGAATCATGACCTGAGCAATTGACTGAGCCACCAGCATTTGTGCTTTCATTTTTGTATTTTTTAATGTTTATTTCTTTTGAGGAAGAAAGAGAAGGAGGGAGGGTCAGAGAGAGAGGGAGAGAGAATCCGTCAGCCTCCCCACTGCCATGCAGAGCCCAGCTCGGGGCTCGGTCTCATAAATCATGAGATTATGACAGAGCCGAAATCAAGAGTCAGATGCTTAACCCATTGAGCCACCCAGGAGCTCCACCACCTGTACTTTTTAAATGGGAGAGGAATGAAGGAGAAATATATATATCCTATGTGTGTGTGTGTGTGTGTGCGCGCGCGCACGCATGTGCGCGTGTATTTACTTGCATATACATAAACAGCCTCAGGGGCTAACTATGAAGGGTAGGGGATCCTGGGCAAAGAAGGGAGGTGGTAAGAGGCCCATCACCATGTCTTTTTATATTTTTAGGTTCTTGAAACATGCATATATATATCAACCTCTTCAGAAATTAAATTTATTATTTTTAAAACTTCAAAGATTAAAATGCATGGGGAGTGGGCTAAATGGGTAAAGGACATTGAGGAATCTACTCCTGCAATCATTGTTGTACTCTATGCTAACTAACTTTGATGTAAATTTAAAAAATAAAATAAAATCCATAGTACTATTTCTACCAACTGAATGAATCTACCTTCCTTGGACAGGCCCTCCCTGAATTCCAGGGCTCCTGAGAGGTTTGTCTGCAGGCCTGAAGGCAGTTCCCACCTGCCCATCTCTGGTAGCATTGGAGCCTTATTTGCAGCCCAGAAGGCTAAGTCTTTGTGGCCCTGGGAAGTTTCTACTAAACAGAAAAGCATTTCAATGAAGGCAGGTCTTTTTGTTGTTGTCCTTTTTTTTTTTTAAACAAAATGTATTTCTCTCCAGGCTACATTCTGGAGTCTTAGTGCTCCTACATCAGAATGGTCAGTTCAAGTCCTCAGCAAAGGGAAGATGGTCTTCACTCTGGAATGTGCTGGTTAATTCCTACCCCTCCCAGAAAGAGACACCGTTCAAGTGAAGTTACTCCAGGCAAAAAATAAAAATCAGCTCTTTAGGGGGCAATGCGTTCCAAAAAAAAAAAAAAATCCTCCAGCCTGCCAAAATCCAAGTTTTGAGTTGCAGTATCTATTCTAAAAGCAGATTGCTTTTCTTTTATGCAAACACGTAACACGGGAGGGGGGAGCACTGTTCCATGAAGCAATGAATTCCTTCCGCCGTTTCTCTGTAGAATCGCTTTACTGCGCCACTGGATTTGATCGTTTCTTTCGTGTTCATCCCTCTCTCCCTCCGTGGCTTCTGGGTGTTGTTAGTCCTGGAACAATGTCTGCTTTGCCCCCTGTTCGTATGAAACAGATGAAAGTGAAGCTACTCCAGGGCACCCGAGGGGACATACTGTGAAAACATCTGCACTACATCATGGAGACAACTCAGCAGCAAGGCTCCTAAGAGTCGTCAGTAACT